TAATTTTATTTGCAATTCGTGGTTTGCAAGCTATTGTGGGACTATAATGATGAAGATAAATGCAGCTTGCCTGTGCTACTGAATAATTTGTGGGCTGTGAAACCAGCTGAACTTGCTTTGGATTTTGATTTCATTCTTTTGGCTAAGTTAATGAGATTAATGGTTTATACTGGTATATCCATATGTTAGTTCTTAGTTGTTAAGTCTCTAGGAGCATTTTTTGATTTTTCCTCTATTTCTACATAGGTCATTTTGTGAGCCTTGGTGAAGACTGAAGAGCCTAAGATAGTGAATTGGCTTTGGTATGTGGAGTTGATGATTTTCTTTGAATTAGCAAGAAAAACTTGAATGCTCGGCTTGATTATCCCTTTTTGTATGGTTTGTTTGTCATGGTCGTTATATAATCAATGGCTATGTTTGGTAACCAAATTTATTTGATTATAACTTATATAACGAGTTATTACCTCATTACTTTGATTTAGGGGTTTAATGTATTTATGATTCTAGACATTAATTGATTGATAGTATCGGTTTTGCTATGAAGTCAACAGTTGGCTCCATAGTGGAGCCAACCTTCTATATACAACAAATAAACCTACTATATTCTCTGATTGCTTAAATAACACTAAAATAAATTTATTAATATGGTAGATATATTTGTTGTATCTAGAAGGTTGACTCCATTATGGAGCCAACTGTTGGCTTCATAGCAAAATCGTTTGATAGTATATTTAGTGACATCTTTTGTTTATGGTATCAATAAATTACTTTTTTTTTTTATTATTTTCTGATTACAAAAAATATTTCTTTTGCTGGAAAGAAAAGTTCTAACGTGGGCCGGCCGTGTTGTGCATGGCGATAGCATGCTAGTAATTATACAAAATGCTATTTAACACATTAATTGGTAGTACATTTCTTTATATTAGCTTCTAAGCATTGAGTTGAGAGGATTTTAAAAATTATAACTGCTGGCATTTAAAATAGTTATACAAACTGCTATTCAATAAATAATATTTAACAAACAATAACAACAACACCATACCCAGTATATTCTCACCAGGTTGGGGTCTGGGAAGTCAGTTGTACGCAGACCTTATCCTTGTAATTATACAAGGAGGCTGTTTCTCACCAGGTTGGGGTCTGGGGGTCAGTTGTACGCAGACTTTATCCTTGTAATTATACAAGGAGGCTGTTTCCGTAGCGACCCAAGGTGCATTGCGCGTTTGATATATATTTTTTTTTTAGAAACTTCACTAATAGAAGAAACACTAGAATTTAATTGAGCCATTTTGATCTAGTCCATTATTAGCACTATGCCAGGAGAATTGTCAACAATAACTCTTTTAGCTCCATTTGCAATGGATAAAACAAACAATATTTAACAAACATTTTTTAAAATAGTTATACAAATTGTTATTTAATAAATAATAGTTATAAAAATTACTATTTAACAAACACTTTTTTTTTCTATAAACCGCTATTGCAATCAACTAATTTAATCTACTATTGATTGATTAATNGAAGGTAATACGCCGAGGTTGGATCATCAGATGGATTAAGTGTCGCCATCGAGTGGATTGGCACCAAAGATAGAGCGATCAAGGAGATCTATAGAAAAAAAAAACGAAAACAGGATCGAAACTAGGGTTTCGTCCAGAGATTAGATCGCGAGAGAAAAAAAATGAAGATATAGCAATTACAGTGGAAATCACGACACTGCGATAGATCGATTGCCGGCAATTGATACCATATTGAGATCAACGATCGAATTTCAGGTGAAGCTATGAATTGAACCAGAAGAAGAAAGAAAGAGAAAGCAATACATGTGGCTTTATTTTTGAGAATGTGGAAATGTGAAAAGTGGGATGAAGAGTTAGGGTTTGAGTATGTATATAGTACAAGATGTCCTATAGTCGCTATTGTGTAAGTAGCAACTTTACATTATGTCCTACTAAAATCAGTGTTTTAAAACGCGCATAGCGCATCGCGTCGCGTTTTGGTCCTTATATTGCGTAGCGTAAATAGCGTAGCGCATTGCGTAAGTTATTCGAGCAGTTCACTTTTAATGTCAAAAATAATAATATATATAACCAAACTTGCCTAAAGTCCTCAACTAAAATATCTAAAGTTCGAAAAATTAATTCTAGGTCGGGTTCACTTTACCTTAAATAAAATAATTTTTTTAGCTTAAATAAATTAAACCCATATCTACCTTAAAATATTTTTAAAAAAAATGGTCACTATCCTTATTCCTACCCACTCACACCTCACAAGGACACATATCCTACCCTAAAATTTTTTTCTCTCCGTTTTTTATTCTTTCTCTCCTTTCCTCTTTCTTCATTCTTTCCTCTTTCTTCTTCCTTTTTTCTTACTTCTTCTCGCACACAATTTTTTTTCCTTCTTTCTCCTAAATTTTCTTCATCTTTATTCTTCTTTTTATTTTCTTTCTTTCTTCTTGTTTCTTCTTCTTTCATTCGCAGACAGCGATTTTGTTTTTTCTTTCTGTTAAATTGATCTATTCAAACTCACAAACACAAATTTCTCAACACTCTCCAATTAAATCAATTAGCCCCAAAATCAAGTAATGAAAAACACGATTGAATTGACAGTTTCAATTGGTCAGAGACCGAGACCAAAGGACCGGCGGCTTGGGTGTGTTGCACTGAGGGGCCCGCGACGGTGTGGTTCGGCGAGGGAGTGAACGGGGTTTTTTTGTGAGTCGTGACTTCGGTTCGTTGGCCTGTTCACTTTTATTTATTTTTTTCTTTTTTTCTGCTTATGAAAATTGAAGCCGATATTCTGTTCACTATTCTTTTTTTTTTCTTTTTTTTTCTGCTTATGAAAATTGAAGCCCAAATAGCGTCCGCTTTCGCAAATATTGCGTAAATAGCGTACGCTTTCGCAAACAAAGTGTGCAAAAGTGTGCCACGTCATCAAAGGCGTACGCTATTTTGGAACTACGCGAAATTATGAGCGCTACAGCGCGTGTTTGATGAAAAATGCGCTATTGCGCGCTATATAGCACGCGAGAAAACGCTATTTAAAACACTGGTTCTATGTAAATTATTTGCAGTTTTCTGTAAGGAAAAATCTGTAGATCGGGTTGAAATTGAGCTGCAGGGATGGTAGTGGCATCTGGAACAAATTCCTTCGCCAAGGAAATGGCCATCAGAAAACGAATTGCCTGGATGTATGCACACTTCTTACCGTGTTCCTATTTGCTTGTGCAGCTTTTTCTTTTTTATTTACTTTTCCCCCATTATTTTACAAGTTATTTACTGGGGTTCATATAGTTAGTCGATTAGCTGGACATATCATTCTGGATTTAATGTGGGACTCTGTGTGTGTATGTGTGTGTCTGTGTGATCGTTCTTTCTTTCAATTTTGTTTTGTGTGTGGGCATTGCTGGAAAAAAAAAATAGTCTGATGTGATTTTCAAAGTTGTTTGATACAAGGGCTCCTATTTTCTCTCTTACAGAATGATGTTGAATTGATGACCTTTATTGATTTTGTGTCGATTAGAGATCAGAATGACTAAATGACCATGAATTTTCAGAAAAAAATATCTTGAGATCAACTCTTAAACTTGTTAACCATCACTGAAATCACAGGCTTTTGCAGCAAGCTAAAGCCTTTAAGTCATCCGGAAGCTTAGCAATAGCTGCAACCAAACAATTATGCCTAATGCCTAAGTTAGTAGCTTTTTCAGGGTTTGATAGTAGCAACTAGTTTTGTTCAATACTTTTCCTGTAAATGGTTCATCGGGCTTCATTCCCCTGGCTTATCTGTCTTCCTGTTTTCTGCTTCTGGTGCAAATGGGCCTTGTATAGTCTATTTGCTCAACTTACCTTGCATTATCAAGTTTCTTGAAGCTAAGTAAAATGTTACCGTGAAATTTGCAGTTATAACAAAAGAGAGGAAGATTTCTAGTCTTTAAGGGAATACAATGACTACTTGGAGGAAGTTGAGGACATGAGTAAGTATACTGCTTGTGCTTGTGTTATGAACGTACACTCTTGCATCGTCTATTAAGTTGAAGAAAATTAAGTGTTTGCTTGCAGTAGTTAATTTAGTCGATGGAGTAGATGTTCCTGCTATTGAAGCAAGAATTATCGAGTACCAGAGAGAAAATGCAGAACAGATCATGAATGCTCAAACCCGCAAGGTCCTCGATTTCTTTCTTTCATTTATAAAAGTTTTTACGCACGTTATTTTTTCTGCCTATGAGTACTTCTTGTTATTAGTTGTTGTTGTTGTTGTTTTTTTTTTTTTTTTTTTTTTTTTTTTTTTTTTTTTTTTTTTTTTTNGCACTTAATCTACTATGTTTGTGATTGAATAGGCTGAAGAATATGCAGCTGCTTTGGCAGCAAGCAAGGGTCAACTTCCGCAGACGCGTGTTGATATTGTAAGTCAGTCTTATGCCTATTATTATATCATTGTGTGTACTAAATATTTCTACTTGAGCATGTAGTTATATTTTTAATTACTGAAATATTCATATGATGGAAGGGTACATGATAGTGATTATCTGCTTTCATGTTTTTGCTACCTGACTCCTTTAGCTTCAACTACTATATGCAAGATTAGGTTCTTATGTATTCATTATTGATGTAAAAAATAAAAAATAAATCCGTTATCCAGCTTAAAGATGGTTATATGCAAAGGCACCAGCACTAAAAAGGAAACAAGTAACATAAGGCCTGTGCAGGCTGTGCTCTTTAAATTAGTTGAAAATAACTAGTGAAAGCTTGTTGTTAAATATTTTGGGTCTTGACTTTTGTATGAAAATTCGTATATGATGGTATAGCTACAAATAACATGGGAAATATTATTTCTGAACCACAATCCAGTTTTATGTTGACCATCGATCTTAAAGTGAAAGAAATGGATCAAATAGCCATTTTAAGTGTTTATTAATAGACACCCCTCATGATTGTGTAATTTGTATATAAAACCACATAAAGGGATCTTTTTGTAATTTGAAAAAGATAGCTGGATGTTTATGTAATTAACCTGAAAGTCAAGCCGAGCGTGTATATTTTGTGATTAAAGCCTCATTGAGATTCAACTATGTTCTTGTGACCGGTTTTCCAACTCGATAATTGCAGTCATCAAGCTCCCAAGCAGGGCCAAGTGGTGTTGCTGAAGGGCAATACGCGCCAGCTGTTGCTGGTGGAATCACACAGCCCCGTCCAGTGGGCCCTCAGCAGGTCCCTCTTGGGCCTGGACTTGACGCATTGGGCCTTGAGTACGAAGATGAAGAGGCCATCAAACTCCGGGCTGAAAAGGCTGCCAGGGCAGGCGGGTGGAGTTTGGAGATGACCAAAAAACGGGCTCTTGATGAAGCTTTTGCTAGCATTTGGATATGATGATAATTACAGTTTTAAAACTCACATATAGAACACAGAATCTCACAGTAAAACAACCTAAAAAAAAGGGAAACACCTTTAATAATTATTCAGCTCTTTATCATCTTCAAACTCAGCACAGCAGATCACCATGAAAAAAATAAATAAATAAATAAAAATAAAAAAAATTGTTATTTTACACACCAACAATATCTACTAACTTTGGTTTTACAAGCCTACCAAATACCCAAAAGACAAACAAATAAGGAAATGTAACCTATGTTCCTCTGTATTACTTCAAAGGAAATAGTTTCAGAATTTTATGGAGCATGATATTTTTTTGAACTGTTAGTACAGTCCCAACGCATATACAAGTCACTCATCTTAAGACAGCTTGAACTCGAATGTCTAAACAACAAACACAGTCCAACACATATACAAGTCTCAAGTCTCCCATCCTAAGACAATTTGAAAGCTCCCGTCTAAAACTCTAATGACTAGACAAATATATTTACAGCATAAAATATAATATAAATTTCAAAAATTATTATAGAATGGAAAAGGCAATAAATTACCAAAAACTGAATAGCAAACAGAACCTAACAAATACTACTAAAAGACAATAAATAGTTATACCAGCAGCCCTCAGCCCCTGCACAAGCCAACTAATGTTTTCTACAAATAAATTTAATTTTCATACTCATCTTTTTTGCATTTATTATTAATACAGCCCTTTTAATTTTCACACTCATCTCTTTTGCATTTATTATATCCTTTTAATTTTCATACTCATCTTTTTTGCATTCATTATACAGTCCCTTTACCCTTTTCTTTATTATAAACCTTCTCAAGCCACCATCTTCTTCTTCTTCTTCACTTAATCCTCCATAGCCAGAGAGCTTAATTTCTTGCTGAAAAATGAGAAAAATCTCCTAATTTCCTTTTGTTATCAAAAGAATCGAGCAAATTTAAAAAATGAGAAAGATAGAGTCTTTACGAGCAGGGTCGTCTGTAGCCGCGGCGGAACCCAACATCCGCCTATCGGCGCCGCCCGCAGCCGCGCGGCCTCCGGCGGATCCGCTATGCGGTGGCCGCACTTGTCCCTGGTGGCCCTTCACGGGCGCCGCGGATTTCACGGTGAAGGCTGTCCTAATCGTGGCGGCCCTCTTCTTCGCCCTGTTCTGTTCCCTGGCGCTCAACGTCGCCGCCCGCTACCTCGTCCGGTGGCGATGCTGCTGCTGCCGCCTCCGGCGGCCGAAGGGGGAGGACGGGGGCGGCAAGGGGGCTGTGGTGGTGTACGTGGAGGGGATGAAGCTGGCCAGGGAGGAGACGGAGTGCACGATCTGCCTGTCGGAGTTCGCTGCCGGCGAGAGGGTCAAGGTGCTGGACAAGTGCGGCCATGGATTCCACGCGCAGTGCATCCGGCGGTGGCTGGCGGCGCGTGATTCGTGCCCCACCTGCAGGGAGAGGTGCTCCGTTTAACTCGAATACACGCCGCCGTGTGTGTCTTTTATGAATCGAGTTTCGTTTTTTCTCCTTTTTTTTTCTGAATTTTGGTTCGAAAAATAGCTTCTACTTTTTCATTTCATTAAGTTTTTTCCCTAGTGGCACTTATTGGATAATTGTGTGTGTGTGTTTTTTCCATTTTTCATTTTGTTTTGTTTTTTTTATTATTATTTTTGGATATTATGTATATATCCATACTTATCTTTGGAAGAACGATTAATTGAACAAGGAAGAATCCAGAACTCAAATCCGAAGTCTCGAACAAATCACATAAGGAATTGAAGTAAATCAATAAATTCGGAAAAAGAAAAAAAAATAATTGTTCAAATATGGGATATTTATGAATTGTTAGAAATTGATATCGAGGGTCTAGAATTAAAGTACACATTTTCTGACAAATTTGAATACAAATGATCTCGAGTTATGAGCTGAATTATACAAAATTATATAAAAAGATTCTTTTCGAACAGAGTCGAGTCTGACTCGTTAACAAAACGAGCTTTAAGCGAGCTCAAGTTCGATTCGTTTGAGTCGAACTTGAGCCTTAACGAGTAGAGCAGAGTTCAAGAGCGACTTGATTCATTAGTTCAGCTTTAATTTATACACCTCAAAGTCCAGAAAATGTCATTAGCAGGTGCGAGGTGCTGGCTGTCATGAGCCCAACACCTAATGGTGCGAGCTTGCTATTTTCCACATATTTAACTTAGAATTAACCTTTTGGTATGTATGCTTAATTTATGATTAATTTTTTGTATTAAATTTGTGTCAAAAATTTTATGGAGCCATCAAATAGTTTTTTTATGGAGTCATCCACCACTTAATGTATGAACACATGTTCAAAGTGTATTTATTGCATGACACGTGTCAATATGCTATTGGTGAATAAGTGTTGATGTCTCCCTAGCAAAACTGTAAAATTGTGTTTAACTTATAATTAACTTTTTGTTATTACATTTCCAGTGTCTCGTAAGTAGTTTTGAGATGTATGATTTACTGTACAAACATGGGCTTTGATTTATTCCCGAGCATGTCAAATTGTACTTTTTAAATGGGCTTGAAAAATTCTATTGGTTTGGGCCACCAAACTTGTCCTACAGTATTATATCTTAGGGAAATTTACATACGTATACTCGATATAAGAGACATTAATCGAATTCAAGTATAGTTCATTTCGGAGCTCGAACATTCATGAATTGAGCTATAGATAGAAATCTATATATGTTTTGTTATTTCAAGCATGAACGAACCAAATCGAGTCCGACTTTACAAGCTCGACTCATTTGATAAATGACTCGTACCAAGCCCAAATTACAAGTCGAGCTCAAGCCGAGCCGCTCTCTCGTCCGAAGCTATATAATGTCCAGGAGTCTCGTCTGAGTCAATCTCCAAAGTCCAAATATCTAAGCGAGAAGATTTTCTCGAACACACAGTCGTATACACACGGAGGAACAAGGAAAAATGGCAGCTGGGCCGGTAATGGAGCACGTGGAGATTATCAAGGCGCGAAATGACAAAAGAGACTACAAAAGGATTGTTTTGGAGAATTTTCTCCAAGTTCTTCTCATCAGCGATCCGGAAACCGATAAGGTCTGCTTAATTCTCCGATTGAATTTTGTATGTGTGAGTGGGACTGAATTCGTTTGAAATTATTACTGTTTGGATATGTATTTTGTTGCAGTGTGCTGCCTCAATGGATGTTCGCGTGGGTTCGTTTAGTGATCCCAAGGGGCTTGAAGGCCTTGCGCATTTTTTGGGTGAGAGCAAAATTAATGTTTCATGTTTCTTCGTTTTATTGGATTAAGCTTAGGTCTATGGACATAATGACATATATTTGTGCTTGAATTGTCTCGGAGGTAATTGTGAACTTGAAGGCTCTAACATCTTTTTCTGGTGACGAAGATTGTGATTTATTGGCATGCACTTTTCAGCTCAAGTGCTTTAAGAATTAAGATGCAGGGATGCCTTGGTGGCTTAGTGTTCTTCTTC